TCAATGATATATTTTTTACGTTTTTTCCCCTGGGATGAAATAACTCAATCGTTGTTTACTATTCTCAACATGTAACCTCCTGACTCTCAGCTTGGTTGATACTAAAGTTTGATTTATTTTAAAGTTTGTTACTTATCCGTATGACCTAATGCTTATGCTCAAGTATTTTAATTGGTTTACTTAGTTTATTATTATTATTATTATTAAAGGTAGTTTATTTCGCGAACTGAGTTCAATCAAATAATCAATAAAAAGTAGCGTGCACTGTACACAAATATTATCTTCTTTTAAAACTCGTCATCAATAAAAACTTGCAACCACATTGAAAGTTGAACTTGAAACTCTCAAGTTATTAGACTATTCGGTTAACATATAATCGTCCCGAAGTTTCCCAAAAATTAGTTTCAAATCAACAGCCAATAAAAAAATAAAATATTACTTTAGAATCATTGAATAAAAGGATTACATCATTATGATAATATTCTTATAAAAAAACGGAGTGTTTACCAGTTTTTTCATAATCTATATGTCAGGTAGTTGAATGGACAATATTCAATCAATGCATAATAAACCCTATTCAGCTTAGCTATATTTTAGTTAAATTTGCTTAAGTTGTACATTATACTAGCTGTCTTTTTGTTCCTGTTTACTTATTCCAATATAAACATTAAAACATTATTCAATACTCACTTGATATTGTTTGTTTGAAACTTCCTGTCGATGTCCAACCAAATACTACCAAGTGAATTTAAACTTCACTTCATTACACAAGCAAATGACTATCAGCATGCAGTAGCTAAGTGGATAACGCGATGACGTTTGAAGCGAATGGTACTGAGTTCGAGTCCCGGAGTGAACATCAACTCAGATGCAAGTACATCCAGCTGATGAGTCCCGAATAGGACGAAACGCGCGTTCTGGATGTCAGTACTAGTCACTATTCATCTTTGCATCATTCAGGACTGTTCAATTTTATAAAACTGTTTACCGTATAAGTAAGTTTATTATTCACGATAATGTAGTTGCTTCAGTTTTTTATTTTATTTACAACGATTACATTTAAAAGCTACATTAAACTATATTAATGATCCAAGTAAATTTGTATATAATATTTATGATCCATTTTATTTGCCTTTATCTTGAACGGTTTCTTAGTTGATGGTATTGATTTTCTGAAAACTACATTTGCACATGTGTTTTCTTTTTCCATATTTTTTCCTATCCAGCCCACTATAATTTACAAGAAATTTACATAGCCTTCATTAATTATATAGATAAACAACGATTCAATAATCAAATCAGATACTTGTGAGTACAGGTAACATTTCATTTCTTCAGTATATATACAATATACAATTGAATTTGCAACATCATCTTGGGTGGTAAGAAAGAAAATAAAAGTATTAGCGTATTTTAAAAAATTATATAATCTTATGAATTAAAATAACCAAAATGAATTAACTATGAGTTTTAACTTTGTCAATATAATTTGAATACTGAATAAAGACTAGCTAATAATGATCCAGTATTTGAATAATAAAAAGAGAATTCAGCGATGAACATTTTCTTTTCAACGAAATCATTTACTTAAGCTGTACATTCATATATATAGTTATATGGAAAATGTATGTCTATAGAAGGATAGAAAAGAATGCATTACAAAAATGAATTCGAGACTCAATAACAAATGAAGTTACGTACTAATCAAGGGGTAAGGAAGATCAGAATTTATGGGTCAGATAATAGTCCAGTTGACAGATATGAAGGAAAACGACAAACACAAATGTCATAATAAGCTGAATAATAATCAGAAAAACGTGTATAAAATAATAAGAATAACTTCTTAGAGTTTAAAATTGTAAAAACAATAATTTAAAAAATTCGATAATAATCAAATAAAAGTGCAGAAAGAAAGAAAAAAATACCCAGAAACATACGCATTAAGGGGATTAAGGCCAATGAAGGATGAGAGGTTGGACGAATCATTTCTGCACGCAAAGTTCAGGCTTGAGTTCGTGGATCACCAATGCCTCAGCAGTGCATAAAATATTGATTCGACACCCGTTTGACCCAATTCATTTGACTCTGTAGATTATTTTAAAAGAGGAATCCTTTGGAGCAATTTGTCCACAGCTTATCAAATTCTCCTGTATAGAACTAGTAATTGTTTTACATTCACCTTTTAAAAGCCAAGCCGGATAGTGTTCAGCTTAAGTAAATGATTTCGTCGAAAAGAAAATTTTCTTCGCCGAATTCTCTTTTTCTTATTCAATGACACTATGAGTTATTTTAATTATCTGAAGAGTTGCAAGGATCCAGTATTTCTTCTAAAAACATAGTTCTTTTCTGACGTAATTTTCTTTTATCCTTGTAAATATTACAGTACAAGTTTCTAAATGGACATTAATATGAAATTCATTTATTTATTATAGGGGGCTATTTCGAAACCTTTAATTATTATTCATTTGTGTGTTTAATTAAAATAAAACCTCACTTATTAATAATTTTAACATTTCCAAAAATATCTAAAATATCAAACCGCTGAAAATCATAAATTGTTTTGAACTAGACTTCCATTAAAAAATATAAAGTATTAAACAACCCTTTAATCATAGTATTGGACTTTTAAGCAATACACATTCAGGACTCCATAACTCAAGACCTCCAGTCTCGCTCAAAAACACATAATCTCTAGACCACTGAGCCGGCTTTGATTGCTCTTTATGTTGATCCAAAATCAACCTGCAATATCTGTCAATCATCTTTAAATGTACTTGATGAATAACTTCCTCGATTTCAATGGGGTTAAACGCCAATGAAACAGCTATCCAGTCCTTCCTGGTTTTCAATGGTAATCTAGCTAAAAATCATTTAATAATAAGATTTACTTTTTCACATAATATTAGTATTTACAAGTGTAATGGAAACCATATACTCAAAATCGTTCAATTTGTTTAAATATCATTATAATCATTAGAAGAATACTTATATTAATTAGACTAATAAAGCATAGCTATATGAATCTATCATCTATCTTCCGAGAAAACCATATCAGTTTATTGTTTTACACAGACTATCATCACAAATGCATGAAAAAAAATTGGATCCCATATGGATCGATCCTGCACAGACCAAATCGCAACTCTACGGATCATTGTGGAACAATCAATTGAATGGAATTCACCACTCTACATCACCTTCATTGACTACGATAAAGCATTTGGTAGCATGGACAGAACAACACTATGGAAGCTTCTCCGACACCATGTCGTGCCTTAGAAGATAGTCAACATCATACAGAATTCATATGACGGGTTAAACTGCAAAATCGTGCATGGAGGACAATTAACAGACTCGTTCGAGGTAAAGACCGGTGTCAGGCAAGGTTGATTACTCTCACTCTTCCTCGTTCTTCTGGTGATCGACCAGATTATGAAGACGTCAACATCTGAGGAGAAGAACGGGATACAGTTGATGTCTAGGATGCAGCTGGACGATCTAGACTTCACAGATGATCTGGCTTCTCTATCGCACACGCACCAACAAATGCAGGATAAGACAACCAGTGTAGCGGCAGCCTCAGCAGCAGTAGATTTCAACATTTACAAAGGGAAAAGCAAGATTCTCCGATACAATACAGCATGCAACAATTCAATCACACTTGACGGAGATTTGGAAGACGTAATATCCTTTACATATCTGGGCTGCATCATTGATGAACATGGTGGATCTGATGCAGATGTGAAAACTCAGATCGGCAGAGCAAGAGCAGCATATTTACAACTGAAGAACATCTGGAAATCAATACAACTGTCAACCAACACCAAAATCAGAATTTTCGATACAAATATCAAGACAGTTCTACTGTATGGGGAGAAAACCTGGAGAACTACGAAAGCAATCATCCACAAGATACAAGTGTTTATTAACAGTTGTCTACACAAAATATTTCGGATCCGTTGACCAGACACCATCACCAACAACCTACTATGGGAGAGAACAAACCAGATCACAGTGGAGGAAGAAATCAGGAAGAAGCACTGGAAGTGGATAGGACACACATCGAGGAAAGCACTGAACTGAGTCACAAGGCTAGTGCTCACATGTAATTCTCAACGTCAAAGGAAGAATGGAAGACCAAAGAACACATTGCTCCGAGAAATGGAGACAGACATGAGAAAAATGAACAAGAATTGTATCGAACTGGAAAGGAAGGCCCATGAAAGAGTGGGTTGGAGAATGTTGGTCGGTGGCCTACGCTCTGTCGGGAGTAACATGTGTAAGTAAGCATGAAAAACATTAATGCTACAATCAGTTTCTTTCTACTGATATCCGAATGTTTACATATTTTCATATCCCCTTAATATGAAACATATTTTAATGATGTTCTCAATGTACAAGTGTACGAAAACTGTCTCTATATATTTTTTTAAAGTTCATAAATGTTTATGTATTATTTTGTTTTCTTTTTAAAAATAAATTGTAATTGTCTGTATTACAAGAAATCCCATAGGATTATTCACATTAGACCATCTTTAAAGACAAATACTTATGGTATTTAGTTTAGTTTTAAAAAAATCTCATATTCTATCCGTTAACAGTGTTTGTCATTGAAAAACAGAAAAACAAATAAAGAATAAGTAGAAGAAACTGAGATTAAATTTAATCTTGTTTAATAATTGATTTTCAATAGATTATATATTTGTTGGTTCTTATGTATGTAGGTTGACGCCCCTTAAAATTATATTTTTATTTATCATTATAAGTGTAATGTTTTACATCGCATTACTTTCTCCAAGTTTATAATTATCATTATTATTATGGATATTATTCATGGTACACACCTAGAAAGGAGTTTATAATAAATTGTAACCATATAAATTTTATCCAATCATATTTAAGTTTTTCATTTAATGACTCACCAAAATAAGTTGCATTCTGATTGGTTAGAAAAAAATGTCATTTTAAATTTAATATTTTAATTGTATATTGAATAAAGTGATTTATTATAATTTTTCAATAATGCTTAACTATTCTATTAATCATAATGTTAAAACATGATAATTAATTTATTTATTAAATTTACTGAAGAATTCAATAATAATTTAATATTAAATTATGCCTAATAGTCAATTACATCCAGCATTTTATGCTTCACGTAGACAATTGTGGGCTACATTAACAACAGGTAAAGTATCATGTTTTTGGAAATGTATACAAAATTATGGAATTGGTTCAAATTGTACATCATTAAGTAATATATGGTATATAATTTTTACTACATCAAGTATTACATGGTTATTAGTACGAGCTATTTGGCGATATAAAGATTTTAAAACACAAGCTTATGATCCAAGATTTGGAAATAAATGGGATGAAATTAATACATTACATTTTCAATTAGCTTCTATAATTTTAAGTTTATGTCTATTTCCTATAATGATTTATTCTGCTTTATGTCGTGTTGGTCATTCAGCAAATGATTCAGTGATACTTGGTAAAGATATGTTACATTTACAGAATTTATTACTTTCTTTTCCAAATTTACAAAAAATCATTTCAATATATACTGAAAATATATATGGAAATAATGGAAGTCGTTATAGTAGTACTGCATTACCCAATGGTAATGGAATAACACGTTCACGTGAACAATCATCTATTGAAGAGGAAGTATTAGATTCATTTATTATAAAAAGACGTGGTGAAGATTTTTATGAACAAGTATCAAATCATTTTAGACCATTTTCATCAATATTATATGTGCTTATTACATATTTATTTCTTTTGCCTATATGTATTATGGAAGCGGAACAAATTAAAAATGAAGCTATTGATCCACGTAAGTTGTAATATTTATAGAGTTATCATTAGGTTTTATAATGTTTACAAACTTCTAATATATCAGAAATGTATTACCAGATTTATTAAGGAAGTGAAGTTAGCAAACAGATTGTTTAGATTACTGATTCAGAATAATAAATTTCTATCATTTCGATAATGTATTCAACTTTCATTTATCTATTTGTGAATTGTTAACGTATATTTACTGAAGCTTTCTTAAATTTGATAGACAATTTAGACAGTTGATTATTTGAAGTATAGTATTACCAAGCTCGTTTACCTCAATATAGACAAAATTTATCAAATAACTTTATGCAAATATGTATATGCAGCTTTATTGTGATAGCATCGTTGACTTGTATTGTTTATTGACACAAGGCGCATAAATTCATTCAAAGATGTAGATATATCTTGCTAATAAGTTTCAAGTAATTTCAAACACAGATGAAAAGATTTGTGTGGATTCTTTTCAACTATAATTTTTTATTCTAGGAAGTGTTTAGATCTAATAAATAAATAATGTAGCACAATAGACCAAGCGTTGAATCTACTTTTTGTTTCAGTTTACTAGTTTAGATAAACAGATTTTACTCTGATATTGAAGTCAATTCTTGTACAGTATTTCAGCTCACCTTAAGAACCGTATTCATTCATTTTCACTTAAAAATGTATGTTTTCTGTTCACAAAAAAGAAGTCAAAGATCTGTATATTGATTAATAGAAAATTTATTAAAGTCAATATAAAATGGGAAAGTTCTCTACACCTTTTGATGAAATTCTGTTCATGAAATGATATTTTGTTTTTGATGGAGTTTTGTTCTCTGAGCTGGATGGTTTGGTCGTGGAGCTTTCATCGTTCTTCTGAACGACATCATTAGCACAAACTTTAGATAGAAGTCTGAAGTTTGTGCTAATGATGTCGTTCAGAAGAACGATGAAAGCTCCACGACCAAACCATCCAGCTCAGAGAACAAAACTTCATCAAAATCATCCAGCTGTGATACAAATCTTCTCTACCATCTCTGTAATTTGTTTTACTTATAAAAATAAATTATTATGACTAGGATATTTATTTATTTTTTCTTTTCATAGTCATCAGTAGCGTGTATCCACTGAAATGCATTACGATCCATGACACTGTTTCTTTTTTTGCAAATTCTCATCTTCACTACTTAGTTTGGTTAACGATTTTACTTTCTTTTGGTTTTATTGATTTATTTACAGACTAACTAGTCATATTCGTTAAAATTTTCGTCATCTGGATATTTGCTACTTTCAACCATATTCATGAATTTCTATAAACTTGGTTATGAAAATCCTTTTTTTAATGATGTTTAGTGATCAACAGTAAGAAGTAAACAGTTCTTCACTCATTCCAGACAAACAGGAAGGAATGATAAGTGTGATAATATATAAATAAAGATTGTGTAGTGTACTAGTGGTACTTTTGTAACTGGTAGAGCACGGTAAATTGAATGTAAATTTGCACTTAACATTTCAATTTGTTTAATTAGATTACGTACAAATCAAAATGAAGGTTTCTGAAAAATGATAAGAAAAAATATCCATACACGTTTTAATTACCCAATCATTTGCTGTTCATTGATCTTTTAAATACCCTTAAACACTGAACTACATCATCTTTAGGTAATCAGTATACAGTTTTCTTATAGTGATAATAATATGTGATAATATAGTGATAATTTTCCCCAAGTTATTTCATTGGACATCAAATCATAGTGGCTTCAGTGAATAACCTGTAAAAATTACTTTAATTACTATGGTAAAGTCTATGTGTGATCTTTCTGTTTGAGTATATCAAGTAGAAGGAATCAAAGCGATAGATAACGCTATTTAATATTAGAAAGGAATAAATTAAAAACTAATCAGAAGAATCTCAATAACTAGAATAGACTTTTTTACACAAACTAAAACTCTAAGAAACTATTTGGGACATCAGAGCTTAAACTGGTCACCTGTGCTTTGCTGTAATGATGTTTTAGCAGATAAATTCAGTCAGTCAGCTACAACGTAGGACCAGGCACATATATGCATCGGTACAAGTTTCCATACCTCATTAGCACAACAAGAAGAACACCGAATTCATAGGAATAATCACTTCAATGGTACTATTGTATAAAAGAAAGATTGTGTATAAGAATATAGTACAGGAAGAAAGAATTAGTTCGTAGAAAGAAAGATATGGAGCGATTTTAATCTCTTAGTTTAAGAGAAGACAGAGAGTGTATACACCAACGCCATTGTGATCGATTCTGAGCCATGTCACCAAGAGTCTCCAACCATTGGTTACGATAGTCACGCGGATCCCAACCAAGTAGTCTGCATCTACCAACATGGCTCAGACTAGAAGTTAGTGTCTTCAAGCACTGATGCCACGTTTTCGTTTGGTCGCCCATAACTTTCTTCCAACCATCTCCAACACCGGTTAGCCTTGCACGTCGTGGTAATCGGCGTTCGGGCCCACGTAACACGTGGCCCAACCATCTCAGTCGATGAAGATTCACAACCTCATCAACTGATTTACCATCATTTTCTAATATCCTGCGTCTAACCTCACTATTACTTACCCGGTGATCCCAGCAGTTGCGAGCAATATTTCTAAGGCATCTGTGGTCAAATACTAATAGCTTACGAGTGTCTTCTACTCTTACCAGATAAATTACGATCTACAATTTCTATTTTCCTGTGAATTTGATAAGAATAATAAAATATAATTAAAAAACTTTTGTCTTAATTCAAGCTTTTTAATTTGTTTACCAGAACTAGTACATAATAAAATCTAATTCTTTTTACTTTTCTATTTCTATCGTATATGAATGATCGTTGACAAGATAAATTATTCATAATTTATTCTATTGATTTTTTGAGTAGCTTTTGTTTCCTTCTTATTTCCTTAAAAATTTTGTTAAACCTAAATTTACTACTTTTTATATATAAATCAAGAAACAATGAATCTGTTATTAATAAGGTGCCTCTTGTTCACATAAACTTAACATAAACAAATAATATTTTGAGCACTATGATATACCATGAGAGATTACATAACATCAATAATATTTTCATATATGTAACTTTCTATTAATTGATCTTTACAATTCTCATTATATGAGTCTGTTATGAAGAGATTCCAAAATATCTATGCAATGATCTTATTTGTTTCTATCAAGTTATTAATTCTTTCAGTTACGATTGAATAATACATGGTTATTAATTGAAACCTACTTAATCAGTTCACAAACCCATATGGAAGAATACTATTAAAAGTCGTTTACTCATATTTGATATAAATCTTACTCAGCTATTTCACTATATAACATAATGTCAACTGACAATATAGACGGATTTAATTATTAACTGATTCGTGTATAATTCTCTCAGGTAGAATTTAAATATTAAGTTAGTTAGATTTAAAGACATTTTCATTACTGTTTTTAACATCATTAAAACCTGTTTGAAATGAGAAAGTACTGTTATGTATTTTTTGTCTATATTTTAAACTTACTAGCAGTGTACAACTAGCACCTTGAATGTGAGTGGCTTCACAATTCCTAATAAGTAAGATGTCATATAGATAATTCAGCAGAATTTCACCATTCACTTTTTATCTACTTTAGTCGCGTTCGTCAAATAACATAGCTATCATCAAATCTTGTCAACTAAAAACTCTTAAATTAACTGTTCTTCTAAGTTACAGATAGATGAGTGAATGCCATGAGAACTAGTTACAAGTTAAGCGCTAATCAGTATATTACTTCTATGCAATCAACCGCCAACTAGATATAAATGTATGCTCAATATTTTCAATATTTCTTTTTGAAAGTAGAAAAAGAACCAGAACAAATACAGACTGATGGATTCATTACAGTTCTTTGTTAAATTCAAGGTACTATATTTCATTATTATGAATTAGTAAGATAATTTGTATTTTGAAGCAATTAATTGTGCTTAGAAAGTAATCTAATCAGAATGAATTCAAGATGTCAAGGTAAAATATTATTTAAAGATATTTGAGATAATGTTCAAAACGTCACAGAATAAACATTAGGAGATCACTCATATAAATACATTTGACTTGAACTCATTAGAACGTGTGGCAAGACTAAAATTAATGGACGAACCAATCAAGTATGAGGTAACAGTTCTCGTATTTTGGTGAGACATTCACTCGTCCATTTGGATAAATGGAGTTTTGGTATTATGACTGATGTCAGTTCACGATGAAAACCCTAAGTCTAATTCTTAACCGTAACCATCAACTATAAATCATAATTTTAATTCCCCACACTAGTTTATAACCCTCATTTGGTCCTAGTTATTAGGTGCACACTCTCAAGGTCACTTTAGTGTCGCTCAAACATCGTCCATAATTGATAGTCTTACCGAGTGTGTTCAAATTTAACCAAAAAAAAAATGAAAAAATGGAAAACGCCAAATTGTTTAATCCTTCCCCAATATCAGATAAGATGAAAGTGAACCACTAACACTTTTTTCAACACAAAACTCAGATATAAATCTTCTCATCGGTTTAATTTCAGCAAATTTCAATAAGATATGCTGTGTCGATTATTATGTTAAGCCCATATACCTTATTCTAGCTTCCGGACAGCCCACTCTATTTATTCTACTTGAGTCACATTCTGATCTTGTTATTTATTCGCTTAACAATCTTGACTGTTTTTATATGAGCGCGTAGGTCTGTGTACATTTCTTAACCCATTACTCATCACATGTCTGTAACTTATTTTTATGTGACTATAAATATTGACTAACGCTTGGTTAAATGAGAGTCGGCTTAACCGCCATCTCCACTGCTCGTCGTTTTGCTTCGTTCTATCCCATTCACTTTATATACAAAATATATATATTCAAAAGTCCATTCTCATTATTTGACTTATTTAATCCAGTTATTGACTGACGCGGTAGGCGATAACAAACATTCATACAATCTAAATTGGAGTCAGATCCACGGGCCACTAA